CTCTGGGTCTCTTCTCCTCCTCCCTGCCTTGCTCTCAGTGTCCCCTGGGTCCATGGCCACACCTCACCCCGCCCTCCCCAGCTGCTTCTTGTGGCTGCCCTGCCGCTGCTACCAGGTTCCAGCCACTCCTCTTACTCCCTTTCTTCCTTTTTTCCTGCAGCCTCAGCCCTGACCCCCTCACAGAGGCTCCAGTGGATGACCTACTGAACCTTGGAAGCCCCCATTCCATTGTATTTAAATGACTGTGTCTCCACCTCCCTCTCCTGGACACTGTATATAGCCCAGCAAGGGCCTGTTCCCTTCCCCCCTCCCCCCCCCCAGGGCCAGAGGCCCTTCTTCTCTTGTAAATAAAGCCACTTGGTCACTCTGTGTGTGTGTGTGTGTCCTCTAACTCTGTGTGTGTGGGAGTGGGTAGAGAGAACCTCAGCCTGCAGTTCTGGGTTGGAGGTGGGCAGGGAAGTGGTCTGTGTGGGTGAGCAGATACTCAGCCACACAGATGTGATGCGCTGAGCAAGTTCAGGGTGGCCTTGGGCAAGGGACCACTGTCTCTTTTCTTGCCTCCACCCTCCCTCATATAAAAGATCACTGAGCTAATGCATAGAGCCCTGGTGTGGTGTTGTAGGATAAGTATTGGACCGGTAACTGCTAGGTCGACAGTTCAAACACACCACTTGCTCTTGGAAACACCCTATACAGGGTCACTATGAGTTGGCACTGACTTGACAGCATACAGCAGCAGGAGAGAACTAATGGATGATCAATCATGAAAATGACAACAATAATCTATTGGTGTTGGCCATGGGCCAAACCAAAACCCAGCTGTCCTGGAGTGGATTCTCAGTCATGGCGACCCCATGTGTGTCAGAGTTAAACTGTGCTCCCTGAGGTCACCAAGTCTTTCTTCCGCACCCCTCTGGTGGGTTTGCACTACTTGGGAACTCCTTGCTATAGGTCAGTTGCTGCTTAAAAGACTACATGTATTATTTGATCTAGGTCCTTTATCATTCTCATTTGACAGTAGAGGAAACCAAGACATGAAAAGATCAAATAATTGGCTTCAAGATCACAGGCAAGATTGTAGCAGTACAATCTGGCTTTCGACCAGGCAGGGAGTCTGCCCCTACACTTACCAGGGAGATGCATATGGGGGACACTGAGGGGAATACAACAACATACCCCTGATGCTGACCCTCAGATCCAAGCACTAACATTAATAAAAGCCAGGAGTATAGACTGAATGCCTGTCTCCCCAGGCCCACAACTCATCTGGGCCAAGATGGGGCTATGTGAGTGCCCCATTTATCCTCTGGCTGAGGTCACCTTCCCCAGTGTCCACATTGGCCTTCCAGCAACTCCTATGTGCCAAGGTTTTATCTTCACTTACAACATTAAGCCCATGGGTAAGCACTGTCCCTGCTAACTGGGAGAGCTAAGAAGTGAGGTTGGACCTTGGAGCAACGTAAGTTTGACTTCACTTATTCAACAAATGCCTTGTGTGTGTCCACTGTATTGCAGGAACTGGACTAGTGGTGGTAACTTAATGGTGGACAGATAGATAGTTTCCACCCTCACAGGGCTTAAGATACTGGTGGGGAATATCCCAGGAACAATCCACAAACATGTAAAATAGTTACCAGCCAGTATTAAGAAGGAAGCAAACAAAGGGATAGGAGAGAGAGCAATACAATAACTCACTGGAGCCTTGGTGGCCCTCCAGGGGGTGAGTGGGTGGGGCAATCACCTGGCGCCTCAGGGCCCCTCTCCCAGCAACGCCTTCCCAGCCCAGCAAAGCTGCACAAAGGAAAGGTGAGGTCCCACCCCTTCTAACCGCCTTTGGGCTGGGACTTCGACTGCTGGAGGGATGCAGGTGGGTACGGAGTAGCTCTGCTCCTGTGTGGGGGCTGCTCTAGCCTGCAGGACTGGTGGGAAGGTTGAAAAACTTTGTTGGCAGGGTTAGTCTGATACCCCTAGCCAGTGTGGGCCTGCTGGTAGTTCAGGGAAACAGAGACCTAGGCAGGGGTGGGTACCGGGCAGTGGAGGTGAGGAAGGGGTACACTTTGTGTTCTGCTGGGGACCTGACTGCCCTACACAGACTGCAAGTCTTCTTCCCCACTTTCCCATGGACTGGGGACAGGGGCACAACCCAACCTCTGCTGAAGTTGACCCCTCACTGACCTTGGAGGGCCTTAAGGTACTTTCTGTAGACAGGGTTAGGTCTTAGAGGAGGGGGCTAAGCCTTGGGGGCAGGAGCGGCAATGGGGGTGGGTGAGGAGGAACGCAAAGGGGGCCCAAAGGCTATTTTCCCTTTGCTTTTGGGGAGCTCTCTCTCCCTAGTCTAGTCCACAGGGCAGGGTAGACCAATTGGAGGGAAGAGTGCCCACAGAAAAGGGTGGGAGGCCTGATGCCTGGGCCAGGCCTCAGAGGAGGCGTCTGTGGCTGGCGCTGGGAGGGAAAGGGTTAAGGCGGTGGAGGGGGCAGCCTATGGCAAGAGGACACACCTGTGCGCAAGGCGGCGGGCGGGGCCCAGGTGAGGAACCCGTCGCTGCCTAGAGGAGAAGGAAGCAGGAAGAGTGGAGGCCAGGGCGGGCTCTGGGCCTTTGAATCCAGGGCCTCGACTCCCCATTTTCTCCTCAGCACCTACTCTCTGGGGGGCAGGCAGGTCCGGCAACAGGTAAAAGCCATCGGGAAAGGGGTCCTGCAGCTGAGTGAGGGACTGCAGAGCCCGGAATAAGGGCCGGTGGTGAATGAGTGTTGGGGAGTTAGGTACTGGGACAAGCTGTGGAGCTGTGGTGGAGAGATGTGCAGGGGGGTCTGCTGAAGTTTCCCCTGGTCCTTAACTGATCTGGGTGGGGCTGGTTTTCAGGGTGGGGCTGGTGGCAGGGAGCAGGACTCACCCGGAAGTATCCTCAGGGACTTGGATGATGGGGGGAGGGGAGCCTAGGTCTGGGGCTGCCTGGCCTGGAGGTGGGCAGGCTGGTTGGGGGCCCCCGTCTTACCCAGCAGTGTTTGGGTGCTGGCTGGGAGTCTCTAATACTGCCGGGTAATGATGGAGGCCCCTGTCCCTGTGTCAGCGCTATTGCCTCAGGCCCCCAGGCCCCGGCTAGCTGACTCCTCTGTACCTCCATCTCCCCTCCCACGTCGCGAGCGCACCGTGCTGCAGATGAGGTGATGTTCGGTTGGCACAATGGGCCCTCCCCAAATCCAGTGTGATTTGTCATCTGGTGGATCCAGAACCACTGTAGACCTGGAACCTACTACGATTGACTCCTGCACTGTCGAGGATTGACTCCTACACTGTCGAGACCTGACCTGGCCTGGCCCGTCGCTGGGTGCCCTGTAGCAACTGGTCAGCCCTAGCCTGGAGTTCATGTAGGCCGGCTCTGGGCCCATCTTCCAGCACAGTGTTGGATGGTCTAATTGTGAAGCTCCTAACACTGTCTGGTAAAGATGGCCCCCGGGTTGGTTCCCTCGGCAATGACCTTCAGGGCAACCTAAAGACCATGAAGTCCTCCAGACCCACCACCTCTGACCTTTACCCTTTCGGATAGGGGGTGTGAATCACTAGCAAAAGAGGAACAATATGAAGGAAACAAAATGGCTGCCTCTAAGTAGTAGCAGGATTTGAAATTACTTGTTCCCCAGGCCTTGGGAAAGTGTAATAAATGAACTGTGAATAGGAACTTGTGGAGGGTTGATCCCTGTCTCTTGACCCATCTGTTGTTTGGTTGTCAATTTCATATCAGGTTCCCAACTTCTCTCAGAGGAGTGGGGCTACCACATCTCTGTCCCTTTCATTATATTGAACCCCCAGAGCAGGAGAGAGATAACTTTCTTCAAACTCTTAAGACACTGAAAGATGAATCTAGTTCCTCTATCATCCATTTTCATGATTCTGAAATAGAGCTAGTCTGACAGTTTCCAATAGTTGTCTATCCGAAAGGACATGGGCTGGAAAATGGGGACAGCAGTTATATGGTGCTGTAGGATAAGCACTGGACCACAGGGTTGGTTTGAACCGTAAGGTCGGCAGTTCAAACTCACCAGCTGCTCAGAAACCTTATACAGGGTCACTGGGTTGGAATTGACTCGAAGGCACTTAACAACAGTGGGCTATAGGACAAGCAATGGCTTTTTCTGGTGCTTGAAATCTAGTGAGGATTGTTATGGGCATATATGGATGCTTACCTAAGGACTGAAAATAGGCACCTGTTCTGTGGGACCCCAAAGCTGTGGAAGTTCAGGAGCTGCTCAGACCTGGTAATGAGAAACTAAAAGTATGGGTAATTCACAATATACAAGATCCACTGGGCACACGCACCTCCCACATAGCTACACAAAGCCCTGTCACCAAGGAAGCAGTACCCCTTGGGTCATCAGTTTTTTGTTTTGGCTCAGCAAAGCCACAGCTGCTCCAACCTCAGGAAAGGAGATGTTAAGTAAGTACGGTGCTGCTGTAGAAATGGAGGGTGTGGTGAAGATTGCAGCTGGGGCTTAGGATCTGAGGGCCTGCTATTCCCCTTACTGGGTTTGGAGGTTGAGTAGCAGGGCCTAGACTCTGCTCATCCCTAGCTGCCCTGGCCAGGTTCTTAGCGCCCTCTGCTGGCAGATACAAAGACAGACCCGGGAGTGTGCTACGTGCGCACGAGGCGGCTCCAAATCCAGCTGACACATGAGGCCGTAACTTCAGTTTAAGTAGTAAAAATTTATTGAGAATTCCTGGGATGGTGGTTATCTCCCAACTTTGAGGGAGGGAACCAACACTGTAGGAAATCACTGAGAAATCACACACTATTCAAATACCCCTGGGGAAGAGAAAAGTCATTTCCCTGACAAAGGGTCAGTCTTCCATTAATCCAAGAGGGGCTGGGAGGGGAGGTGCAGAGGGAACCATCACGTTACTGGGGCTGGCTAGGGGTATGCTGGACCCCTGGCCGACTCCTTGAAAATCAGGGGAGCAATAGATCCACTTCCTCTCAGGGTGAAGTTCTCTGTCACCAGGTTCATTTCTTAGTCTTGATGAGGCTGTCGCTGTGAAAACAAAGGGTAGATGAAGGGCACTGAGAAACAATCAGTGTGATGGAGATGAAGCACCCCCTCCCAACTGAAGGTGTATCTGTGGAAAAGGGGGTAAGGGGAAATGGGTGGGAGACAGGCTGAGGACCCCACAGAAATAAGGGTGCAACACCTTACCTTCCTCTGTGGTACCAGGTGACCAGAAACACAGATGACAGAAAAGAAACATACAACACATGTGAAATGACAGCTTCAGGCCCCACTTCTATCCCCTACCCAGCTCTAAACACCTCTCTTCTATCAAGACAAAAAGGCAAGAAGGTTGGAAGGCAGGAATCAGATTATGAAACATTTGTTCTTTCACTACTTAGCTAGGTAAAAGTTTAAAGCTGAATGATTATATTTGATCTCCAAAAAGCAATCCTATGAGATACAAGGTAGGAACTGCCAACCATCCCCTTTTCTGATAAAAATTTGGTTTCAAGAAATAGTGTTTTTTTAAGGGTCACATGGGCAGCTGGCCGTAGTGCAGCCTCCAGACCCAAGTGACCAGACAATCCCATTTTCTTCCTGACCCCCTCCTACTGTGTAGGTCACATCTCTCACCGAGTGAAACTTTCGTCCTGGAGGTTTAACACAAGGTTGTCAGCAGTGAGATAGATACGATTCTGTGACGTGGCGATCTATAGGGAGAAAATAAGACAGGAGTTTACACTGAGCAAACTTGCCATTCAATATGCAACACTTGTGGGTTAGGACTAGGAATACAGCGATGAGTAAGACATGGTTTCTGCCCCTACTTGAAGATCCGGAAGAAAGAGCAACTCAACTAACACGTCAGTACCACCAAAAATGTATGAACAAAGTGTCGGGAGCCCAGAGGAGCGTCACATGGGGAGAGGAGCATCAGCGCCAATTTGAGTAGAAACCGGGACATGCGGGAGTGTGTAATATGCCCATGCAAATGTGCCTGAACTGAAAACACCTGCCCTTTCAACAAAGCCCTGCAAAACATGCTGGGCTCGCGTACTCACCGTCTTGGAGATGTTCTGGGCAGCCCGGATTTTACGTAGTTTGATGTAGCCAGGGTTCTTGCTTAGTGCTTCTCCCAGGTGAGCAACCGAGTTAAGGGTCCACACAAGGCCAAGTCTCAATACCTGGCCCTACCCTTGCTCCTCTCTCCCACCCCTTCCTTTAGTCCTCTGGGCTGTCAGATCCAAGGTTGTGCTCAGATGGCTCCTGCCTCACACACTTTGGTTCCTCACCTGTGGGCCCCCCTGCAAGCAGCTGCCAGGCACTGGGGGCAGTGGCTGAAATGGAGGAAGGGCCAGCAGTGCTATGGATCTGGCCTTACAGTGGGGAGCCAGGCCTCATGCACCCCCACTAAGATTTCAGATCTCCCTCGGCCCCACCCACCAGGGAACCAAGGCCTAGCAGGCAGGAGTCGCATTCGCCTTAGTGTCATCAGCCGGCCCTGTTAAGAGGACAGGAAGAGCAGTATGTGCTAGGTGCTGGCCTGAGGTCTCTCTAGCAATAGGATATCATCTTGGCAGCCTCTGCCTCACCCTCAGCTTGTACAATCTTTTGCCGCTGTTCCTGCTTTGCCTTTTCCACCAAGAACTGGGCCCTCTGGGCCTCCTGCTGGGCTGCAGTGGGAAAGAGAAGAGGGGTTAAAAACCTACCACCTACCATTCCACCTCCGCCTGCACCCTCTTGTCCCACTCTTCTCATGACTCACCCACTTGTTTGGCTTCTACAGCAGCCGTATACTCTCGGCTAAAGCTCAGCTCTGTGATGGCTACATCATCCAGGATGAGGCTGAAGTCCTTGGCCCTCTCTGTCAGCTCCCTTCGGATCAACAGGGACACCTGGGGAGCGGGAGTGAGGCGAGGGAAGGTGGGTGGGGCAATGTGAGGGGACTGGAGCACTGAAAGGAAAGCGTGCTGCTGTGACCAACTCAATACGAGATTTCCTGGGAGGCAGAAAATGCACTAACCCTTTTTCTTAACTAAATCAAAACCAAACCCATGCTGCCAAGTCAAACTCTGACTCACTATGACTCTACAGGACAGAATGGAATGTTCTATAGGGTTTCTGAGACTGTAAATATTTATAGAAGCAGGTTGCCTGCCTCATTTTCCACCCACAGAGTGGCTGCTGGGTTTGAACCAATGATCTTGCAGTTAGTAGCTGAATGCTTAACCCATGGCATCATGTGAGCTTTTTATTTCTCTCTAATACCACTCTTCAGCTTCCTGTCAGACAAACCAAAACACTGCTGAAAGAGGTGCAGGAAAAACCAACACTTAGCTGTTGCTGTTAGCAATCTTCAACACTAACTGCTACTGAGTTCCAGTCTTGGCTCTCATTTCACAACCCTTTTCTAACAAGGTGCCTTTCCTGACATCTAGTCCCTGTGCCCTGCACCTGAGAGGGAAATGCTGACAGAGCAGATGGTGATGGGAGTCAGACCTGAGCCCTCTGGGTGATCAGCTGTGAGGCATTGAACTTGGCCACCACACTCTTGAGCACCTCATTGACGATGGATGGCAACACTCGCTCCTCATAGTCTAGCCCGAGGCGCTGGTACATGCTGGGAAGTTCCATGGCATTGGGTCGAGATAGCACTCGCAGGGAGATGTTCACCATCTGCAGATCTGACAGCAAAGCCAGCAGTGATTGGTTAAGGTCGTGGTGTTTAGCTAAACACCTGCCCCAAGCATTTTCTCCTGTGTTTCCCTCAGATGTACACAGTGGAACTCCCCGGGGTAAGAGGATAAGCAGGCATGAGATGTGACAAAGCACAGACCACATGTAACCTTATCCTCTTACTCAGACCCCCTCCAAAGGTACAGGTGACCCCCATTTTTGCAACGGTACTTTGCACAACCTCCATCAAAGCCTTTCTCATTCTGTAGTAAAACCATCTGTAGTCTTTACTGGACATGCCCTCCTCTTGAGGACACAGATTGTGTTTCATGAACCTTATTCTAAGACCTTGGATTTAGTAAATGAATAAATGACAAATAAGCACATCACAGGTTGTATGTATGTTTCTCCATGTGTACACGTCTCTGTGTTAGTGTGGGATTGAGGAAAGGGTCTGGGTTTCTAGGTTAGGGTGGGAAGGAGGAAACAAGTGTACTTATGAAGAGTGGGGATGTGAAACTGACTTTCCCCAGGACAGTACATACTAGTGGGTATACTTATTAAGTCGAGTAGTTAGAATTAAACAAGATCCTTGCCCTCACTGAATTTACATCAGCAGAAAGGACAGTTAGTAAAAAAATATACCAACACCACACAGTATGCCAAAGCCCAGTACTGCTTAACTCCCAGATGTAAGCACTTCGGTTAAGGCTCTTTTGCAGATGTAGAAACTAAGACTCAAGAGACCTGACACTACCAGCTTCCCCTAGGATCTCCCTCCAGGCTGTGTTTATTTTGTGACTCCTAAGTGCCCAGACCTACCTTTAGAGCCTGTAGGGGAGGAGATTTTTCGGGGTCTGGCCCGGATGTCATAGATGATGGGGTACTGGAACCAGGGGATCCTGGGAAGACGACAGGCACAGGTATTACATTATTTCACTAGCTTTGCCTAACTTCCTCTCATTTAAGCATTTCTTACTCTGTAACCTTTCCTTAACTGCCAGAGGCATACAGTTCCTGCTCGCAGTCCCCTTAACGGTTAGGGGCTCCCTTTAGATAACAACAGTTTATGTTCCTGGAGTTGCAGGCAGAAGTGAGTAAAGAGTCGCGTTGAATCCTCTTGCAAGTTCTATCATAGCCACTAGTGAGCGGGTGTCAACGGTGAAGGGTCAGGGACAGTGCCCGCCATTACCTGAAGTGAAGGCCTTCAGCCAGAATGGTGTCCGGCTGCACTCCACCAATCCGATTAAAGAAGATGGCCCTCTGGCCGCCTTCCACTGTGGAGAGAAGGCCAGACAGTGGGTCAGCGCTAGGCTCTGCGGGGCAGGGGGAGGGATTACGGCGCGCAAGGACCAGACGAGATAGGACAGGAATCTGGGAAGGGATATAAAGGAGTCTTTCGGAAAGTCCCGGGGATGGGGACCCAGCGAGTGGGTAAAGGGAGCTCACCAGTGAACACGGACTCACGGACGCCGTACGCCACGGCGCCGGCCCCCAGCAGCAACTTCAGCGCCATGCCCATGCCCCGAGGGCCGGCAGGCAGCCGTCCCGCTAAGTCCTTCAAGTTCTGGGCCATGTCCGCGCCTGAGACCGGCGGGACCAGGGGTCAGAAGGGGTGCCGGCCCGTCTCTACCCCGCCCCAATTTAGGGATCACACGCTTCACACGAGGGTCTAAAGCCTGCTGTGCTCACAGGCAAAAGGGCACCGGAAGTGCGCTCTCCTCTAAGCGCTCCCTGCTGCCCAGTGGCGGACCCAAACTTCGCGCACAGGAATCGCGCATCCGGAAGTTCCCGCCCCCTTCTGGAATCCTGCCCACCCAGGGCGGCTTCGGTAGCGCGAGGCTGCAAACCATCGCCATTTCCAAGCACCCGCTTCCAAAATGGCAGCCGGAAGGAAGTTTGTTATAGGGCGAGATTCCCTACGGCGCGAGTTCTAATCTGAGAAATTGATGTAGGCAAGTTCCGGTCCGGTTGCAAGATGGCTGCGTCCAGTGGTCGATTTCATCCTCGTGAGCGGCGCAGTGAACAGGAACAAGACTGGGATGCTGTGCAGCCAAAACGGCCCCGACTCGGAGCAGGAAGCAAGGCTGGAGGCTGTAGGCTCATTGTGGTGCTGGAAGGTGCTAGTTTGGAGACAGTCAAGGTAGTTTGGAACAGTAGTTTGGGAGGTGGGAACTGGTAGATTGATAGGTTGTGGCAGGGTGGGATGAGGATGAGGGCTCAACATGGTGCTGGTGGTGTGCTGTGGAGTCAGTTCCAACTCATAGCGACCCTGCATAGGGTTTCCAAGGCTGTAAATCTTTAAGGGAGCAGAAATCCTCAACTTTCTCCCGAGGAACAGCTGGTAGTTTGGAACTGCTGATCTTGGGGTTAGCAGCCCGACTTGTATTCACTACGCTAGAGAGAGGTGAAACATTGTTTTCGCATATATAATTGTTGTCTCTTGGCGTAACATCCTGGTTCTACAGTACTCATTTTCTTCTGTCATTATTGAATTCCATTCCAGTCTTCCAATTGTTTTACCTAGATTTTTTGATAAAGTCATCTAACGGGAAGGACTACCCGTCTGACACTTTGTCTTATTGTGGCGCGGTGATGGCTTGTGTGTTGCTACCATGCTGAAAGCTGTGCCATCCGTGGTGGACAGGGTTCACGGAGTATCCAGAGTAAGGTAGACAAGGAGGAAATGCCTTTGCAACCTTTTTCTGAAAATTCACCAGTAAAAACACTATGGATCAAGGCAGAATGTTGTCCAACTGCACCTAAACATGCCAGCTATCTAGTTTTGTTATGTATTTGTTGTTAAGTGCCCTGGAGTCGGTTTCGACTCAGCGTATCTGTGTAGGGTGTGTAAAGCTTTAAATCTTTTGCGAGAGCAGAAAGCCTCTTTCTCCCGCAGAGCGCGGCTGGTGGACTCGAACCGTGTGCTTGTGGTTTGCAGTCCAGTGCTTATTCTGTGGAGCTACCGTGCTTCCTTTGTTATGTATTGTCGTTAAGTGCCATTGAGTTGGTTAGGACTCAGACTCAGAGCGACCCTGTATAGGGTTTCTGAGGAGCGGTAGCGAGATTGAACCGCTGACGCAGTTCAAACTGACGTTGCAGTCCATCACATTAGCCTGCAGCACCAGGACTCCGGGTTATGTATGTACATTGCTGTTAAGTGCCATCGAGTTGCTTCCGACCCATAGCGATCCTGTATAGGGTTTCCAAGAAGCGGCAGATGAGCTTGAACCGCTGACCTTGGAGTCTAGTGCATTAACCTGCAGCACTAGGACTCCTTGTTATATCCTCGTCCGTAGTGATGTGCCATCGAGTCAATTCCGACTCAGCGACCCTGTACATGGTTTCCGAGGCTGTAAATCTTTACGGGAACAGAAAGCCTCATCTTTTCCCCAGCAACAGCTGTATAGGGTTATCATAAATCAAAGCTCTCTTGATGGCCATTAACAGTTATAACTAGGGAAGGGAAATTTCCCTAAGTCTGAAAACAGGCTACTGGATAGGAGAAAGGTAGTTACTGTGACCTAGTTAGACTTCGGCTCACTCTTCTATTTGTAATTAGAAAAGGTTGTAATATCTTTACATCTTTATTTTGCCCAACAGCTCTTTTTCTGAATATTCCAGCAATTCCCATTTTTTAAAAAAACTGTATTTTTTTTTCATTCCCTTTGATCCTTGTTTCTCTTACTCTTTGTTGTTGTTAGGTGCCATCAAGTCGGTACTAACTCATAGCGACCGTATGCACAACAGAACGAAACACTGCCCAGTCCTGGGCCAACCTCACAATTGTTGCCACGCTTGAGCCCATTGATGCTGCCACTTTGCCAGTCCATCTCCTTGGGGGTCTTCCTCTTTTTCTCTGACCCTCCACCTTACCAAACATGATATCATTCTCCAGAGACTGGTCCCTCCTGACAATGTGTCCCGAAGTATGAGAGATGAAGTTTGGCCATCTTGGCCTCCAAGGAGCACTCTGGCTGCACTTATTCCAACACAGATCTATTGGTTCTTTTGGCAGCCCATGGCACTTTCAATATTCTCCTCCAACACCATAACTCAAAACCATCAATTATCCTATGATCTTCCTTATTCACTGTCCAGCTTTCACATGCATATGAAGTTATTGAAAATACCATGACTTGGGTCAGGAGCACCTTAGTCCTCAAGCCGACATCTTTTCTCTTCAACACTTTAAAAAGGTCTTGTGCAGCAGATTTGCCTAATGCAATACGTCATTTGATTCCTTGACTGCTGCTTCCGTGAGTGTTGATCGTTGATCCAAGAAGAATGAAGTCCTTGTCAACTTCAATCTTTTCTCCGTTGATCAGAATGTTTATTGATCCAGTGGTGAGGACTTTTGTTTTTACATTGACATGCAATCCATACTGTGGTCTTTAGAGCTACACTTATTCAAGGAATGGGCCTAGAAAAAATAGCCTAGACTTAGAATTTAGATATGTATTTATATCAATTTTGGTACTTTTACATTTTTTAAGTGTGTGATTTTAAGAAAGTAAACTTTATCCTTAGTGTGTAAAATAGGGGTAACGCCTTAACTGAATCAAAGAAGGACATTGTGATGCTTTAAAAGTACAATAGTATGTTTCTACGATAATCTAAAATATGATTCTCTTTGTCCTTTTTCCATCAGGAACTTTAAGTTTGCATTCTAGGATTGCTGTTAAGTGCTATTGAATCAGTTCCGACCCATAGCGACCCTGTATAGGGTTTCCAAGAAGCGGCTGGTGGGTTTGATCTGCGGATCTTGAGATTAGCAGTCCTGTTCTTATCCTACAGTGCCATACCAGGACTGCATTGCATTCTAGAATACCTGTTTGTTTTTTAAAAAGTGGCCAGCTAAGCAAGCTTCTTTTCATTTTCCTGTAATTGGTATTTCTAATCTAATTGTAGGCTCATACTCATCTCTCACTATTCTTCCATCATATTAACTTTGTTAATTTTGACTGTCCCTCAAACTTATTTGCAAATGTGACTAGCATGTCTTCTGTGGTAGCACAGCACAGTGGTTGAGAATGTAGACTTGCGCTTGACTGTCTGGGTTAAAATCCCTTCTCAGGTACCTACTGATTGTGTGGCCTCAGGCATATCATTTAACTATGTAGTTTGTTCATATTACCAAAAAAACTTCCAGTCCATTTGTTATAGAGCTGACTTCAATTCCTGGCGACCTCATGTGTGTTCACGTAGAGCTGTGTTTATAGGGTTTCCTTAGGGTGGTTACTTTGGAAGTAGCCAACAGGCCTTCTGAGGTGCCTCTGTGTCAACTTCAGCCTATTAGGTTTCAATCAAGTGCGTTAACTGATCATCTAAATTCTCCTCATGTGTTACACGGGTATAGTAATAGTACCTCCCTCATAATGTCGTTGAAGAGGAATAAAGGGATTAAATGTGTAAAGGGCTTAGAATAGGGTCTGGCACTTGGTAAATGGTTATTTAGTCCATGCTCATTAGGTGTTGAAAAGGTCATGGTTCAATTAAAACTCTTAGAGCATGCTCTGAAATAATTTAGGTAAGCTTGTCATTAGTGTTATTTTCTGGGTAACAATTCATAGGTGGCTGAAATTGACCTCCGTATGTACTGTTATCTTCCTGTGTTGGTCCTTCTGCTTCTGCTAGTTTCATCTGGGCCTGAGATCTGAATTGACTCCTTGTACTTCAGCCTCATTGGCGTTAAGCTCTTTGGGAGCACTTAGTTCTCTTACACCTTAAGGCCACTGCACGTTTTCTATTTGGAAGCTCCCTCTATTCAGCTTTTTGCTTATTTCCTATTCATTTGTTCATTGAATAATTATTGAGTCCTGGTGTGCTGCTGTAGGATAAGCACTGGGCTGCTAACCACAAGGTCGGCGGGTCAAACCCACCAGGTGCTCCTCAGAAATCCCATACAGGGTTGCTGAGTCAGAACTGACTCGATGGCACTTAAAAACAACAAAATATTACCTCCTAAGAGAAACAACTCTCCTCCCTGGTGTAAATCAGACTCCTCCTGTTACAATCTTTTAACAAACCCTTTAGTTTTCTTTCATAAAGTTTATCAGTTTAAATACTTAAATGATTGTTTACTGTTTGTCTCTTTCACTAGAAGGTTCTGTGAAAGCATAGAATTAAAAAAAAACTTCTTTCTTGTATCCTAGCAGAATCATGAGACATGGTAGATGCTTTAAGTCTTTGTTGACTTGATAGTAATGGGTTTGTTGTTGTTGTTTTTTTTTTTTGTGTGTGGTTGTTACATGAGTTTTGTAATTTACAAAGTAATTTCATAATCACATTTGATCACTGCCCTTCAGTGTTTCAATTCCCCTCTTTTCAGTGCTATTTCTTTTTCTTGACCTCAATTCATACCTTTGCTCACATTAGCCATAAAACTGGGACTAAGGGAATAACAACATCCTTTCCTGTGTTTTCTTTCCGAGATGTATTCCTCAATTCAACTCATTCCTGTAGTATTGTTAAGATTTCACAGCCCTTCACTCAGTGCATGTGTTAAGCAAACTTAAGGCAGTGACTGTGCCTTTTGTCCAGTACACACTAAACATAAGGATTTAGCCTTACTAAGTCCTATCTGCTTTAGTATCTCCCACTGGCCTTGTGTTATAGCCCCAGTTTAACATGAAATCAGGTGAGATCCTGTGAAGCCACAGGTGTGCCCTTTTCCTCTGTGGTCATTTACTTGGAGTAACATAGTAACCTCTGAGGGGCTTGTTGGGCCCCACCTCAGGGTTTCTGATTCACTAGATTTGGAGCAGGCCTCAGAATATTTAACAGGCTCCCAGATGCTGCTGCTGGTTTGGAGATCACATTCTGAGAAACACTGGGCGAGGGAATAGAAAGAAGCTTATGTTGCTCTCATCATGCTCTTCATTTTTCTTCAGGTAGGGAAGACATATGAGCTACTCAACTGTGACAAGCACAAGTCTATGTTGTTGAAGAACGGACGGGACCCTGGGGAAGTGAGACCAGACATAGCCCACCAGGTAACTCCAGGGACAGAATTCATACTCCTTGAGACTGTCTGTATGTGGTTAATGCAGTATGTGGCTTCTCTTCATTCTTCGTTGTGCTTGGTTTCTGCCTTCCCCAGAGTTTATTGATGCTGATGGACAGTCCCCTGAACCGAGCTGGCTTGCTACAGGTTTACATTCACACCCAGAAGAATGTGCTGATTGAAGTGAACCCCCAGACTCGAATTCCGAGAACCTTTGACCGATTCTGTGGCCTCATGGGTAAGAAGCCTTAGGACTTAAAAGTTCAGTAGTGAAGAAGGGAGGATGAAAAAGGAGACATTAAATGTGGACGTTTTACACTAGGGGACCCAACGTGATGGATAGCAGTACCACGACTCATTACCTTCCATGTGCGGGAAGTACCGCGTTCTTGCCTTGGTTTCTAAGGAGCCCTGATATACAGTGGGTTAAGTGGTGGGCTGTTAACTGTAAGTTCTATGGTTCAAATCCACCAGCCACTCCTAGGAGAATGATGAGGCAGTCTACTCCTGTAAAGATTTCATCTCAGAAACCTTAAGGAGCAGTTCTGCTCTGTCCTATAGGGTTGCTATGAATTGGCATCAACTCCATGGCAGTGGGTAGGTGTCGTGCTTGGGGGTTCCAAGGCCCAGTGACACAGGGAGCAGCTGAACCCATCAGCTTGTCTTAGTTGTTAAGTGCCATTGAGTTGGTTCCGACCCATAGCGACCTTGTATAGGGTTTCCAGGGAGCATCTGGTGAGCTTGAACCACCGACCTTGTGGTTCAAACCCACTTTGCAGTCTAGCACATTAACCCACAACAGCCCACACCAGTACTTACTAGTCGTAACACTGGGCAACCATCTGCTCTTACAATTTTGTAGACTGGATATTAAGGACACACCCAGCCCACCATGCTTGGTTGGTTTTTTTGGTTACATTATGGGGCAGAAGAAATGGGCTTTCACCTAGCTCTGAACTTTTTTTTTTTTATGCTCCCTCAGTTCAGCTTTTACATAAACTCAGTGTCCGAGCAGCAGATGGTCCTCAGAAGCTATTGAAGGTGAGCTATTAAAACCCACTGGTTGGAAGTAGGGTTTTGAGAATGATACTGGGACTGATGTTTCTTTTTCTTTTTTTAGGTAATCAAGAATCCGGTGTCAGATCACTTCCCAGTTGGATGTATGAAAATTGGCACTTCTTTTTCCATCCCAGTTGTTAGTGATGTGCGAGAGTTGGTGCCCAGCAGTGACCCTATTGTTTTTGTAGTGGGGGCCTTTGCCCATGGCCAGGTAAGGGCTTAGGTCGCAAGGGAATAGTTGCCCGTTTGTTTGTAGAGCTGAGACTTGGTACAGAATTCAGAGAGCAGCTGTTAGCATTTTCACAATCCTTGTTATTTCTAATTGGGTGGGAAATAGAGGATAGGAGCACAGCTGGATGTCATGGAGGTTTCACACCCTGCTCTAGGCTACAGACTTTAAGGAATGCTGGGATATTTGTAATAGTCAAAGCTAGGACCTCTTTTATCTTTTGTACAACTCTGATCTTAAACCTAATTCCACCATTTTTTTTTCGTGCTTTAAAGAATGGCTGACCCTGCTACTGATTTCTTCTAGTACTAATCAGCTGACAGAAACTCTTTCCTCTTTAGGTCAATGTGGAGTACACGGAGAAGATGGTGTCCATCAGCAACTACCCTCTTTCTGCTGCCCTTACCTGTGCAAAACTGACCACAGCCTTTGAAGAAGTATGGAGAGTTATCTGAGAAGAAGATCTTTGTTCCAAAACAAAGACTGCCATTCCTTGACTTTTCTGAGCTAACTGCTGAGAAATGGCTTTCCTGCCTTAAGACTGTGGAGTTTGGGGAAGCCAGGGCTGTACATTGCTGTTAGTTTATCTTATAAATATTGTTGTTATAAACCTAATTGTTCTTTGGGGCTACCTAAGCTTGAATAAGGAAGATCGTAGAAGAATTGATGCCTTTGAGTTGTGGTGTTGGAGGAGAATACTGAAAGTGCCATGGACTGCCAAAAGAACTGATAGATCTGTTTTGGAAGAAGTGCAGCCAGAGTGCTCCTTGGAAGCCAGGATGGCTAAGCTTCGTCTCTCC